AATAGATAGATATTTATGGGAAACCTCTAAAAAACAAATAGAGCCTACCTAGCTTGGCTATCATACAATAATACGGTTTTACAAATTACATACATATCATTTAAATATAAATAAAATTTACAATATTTTGGGCCTGGTCATGGGGATATATCATATGGTTAGCTGCAAAAATGGCGATACTACTGGTGATATCGATATAGATGGTAATATGTTTGAACAGGTAGATAAATTTAGGTATCTAGGTTCTACGATAACTAGAAAAAACGAAATTGAAGAAGAGATTAAGGTTAGACTGAAGGCGGGGAATGCTTGTTATTTTTCTGTGACAAAACTACTTAGTTCGCGCCTCTTGTCCCGAAACTTAAAAATTAGAATCTATAAAACAATTATCTTGCCTTCAGTTCTTTATGGATGCGAAACTTGGCCGCTTACATTAAGGGATGAGCAGCGTCTTAAGGTTTTTGAAAATAAAGTATTGCGTAGAATATTCGGACCGAAGAAGGATGAGTTAACCGGAGAGTTCAGACGGTTACACAACGCCGAATTGCGTGAGCTGTATCCGGGTAATATAATTGAGGTAATTTCATCGCGGCGAATCAAATGGGCTTGTAAAGTTGTTGGGCTTAGTAACGAGAGAATTCCTAAAAGGTTAATATTTGCTGTGCCGAATGGTAAGCGTCCGAGGGGTAGACCGAAGCGAAGGTGGGAAGATTGCATTAAAGCCGATCTGAAGGGACTGGGTTTGGACGGCGAACGGTGGAGAGAGGTGTGTAACAAGCGATTGGTGGTGTCGGCATCGAACCTTCGGGTTCGCTAAGCCTTATTATTATTATTATTACAATATTTTACGTTTAGAATGGGTTTTACAAAACATGAATAACAATAAAAATTAAAATTAAAAACATAAAACGATTACTGCATAATAATACTTATATGAACCTGTTACTATGATAGAAACAATAAATGATAAAAATATTTATATATATAAACAAAATATTACTTTTAGGATGTAGACTATTCTAGATAAATTGACTACATGATATGAAAGTTTCTTGAGACTCAATTGCAAAAGTTCTGTTTTTTGCATAGATTCTGATATATTCTGGGTTTGAAACTCTTACTTGACTAACACATCTCAATTTCATTATATGGACTTTGAATGTAAGGTACGTTTCGGGATCGGGAGCATTATAACTGCATAGCATTTTGTATGAAGGGTAGTTAATGGAGCTTAAAGTTATTTGTATGTCGGTTGAGAAATAAATAATTAAATTTTTAATATATATATGAAGTAATAATTACTTGAGAAGAAACAGAAAGAAACTAACTCTACCTATACGAAATTATGTTTAAGTGATTCTTGAAGTCGTATATAAAATTTAAATTCACAAACAATTATACTTTTTTTTTCATAAGATACGATTATATATAGTAACTGTATATGTATTATAATTTAAAAAAATAGGACATATAGTTATTATTCAAGTGGCTGAGATCACTCAAAGTACCAAATATGGACCAAAGAAAAAAATGACTATTTTTGGGGGCTTCAGCCCAAATCCATAGATCCATCAGTGCGTACCGGTCTACCTCTTAAAGATTTAAATATCCTTTTAAAAAATTAGTGTTACTCATAAACTCAAATATTTCGTTGCATGAACTAACTCACTCATACTGGCACTACAGTCCATATAGGACCCTGGCTTCCATCAACAGCTTGTCCGTAGCATATCTTCTCCAGCGGAGTACATCCTAAGTCTTCAGGTCTGCCTCGACATCATCCAGCCTTCGATGTCGAGGTCTCCCACTAGAGCAGTCTTTTGGAGATTCTACCGGAGTCCATTCTCTCCATATGTCTCAACCACCTTAATCGGTCCAGCTGGACATATGAGACGATGTCTCCATCTCCTAATAAGTCCTGCAGCTCCTTATTTGTTCTAATTCGGTAAGCATTTCCTGCTTTCACTGCACCGAATATTCGGCGAAGAACATCTCTTTTTCAGTCTTTCAATCTTTTTTCTTGATGGACATATGTAAAAATATATAAACTATTCTTTTTTTTTTTGTTGTTTTCTCTCTTTTTTTTCTGCATATATGTGATCTTGTTTTTTTCTGTCTTGATGATGCCGTTGACAAGTTGATTGTTTATTAAATCACTTTTATGTTGGAGCCTCATGGCTTTATTGGTTGAACAAATAGTAACACAAGCAAACGACAATTTAAAAGACAGGAGAAATATTCTTTTGAACATTCCTTACCCCAGAGCAGACCACAGCTCCCCCACCTGCACCCTTCAAAATGTGACTCTTATAACAATTGGATCCAAATCAAATTTCGTTCCCATGTCTCATGATTTATTCATAGGCGACAAGGCCCTCTTTGGAACAACTACACTAGCGTCACTTGTCCAAGGCACCCCCTCCATTCTTTGACGGTCTGAAGGGGCCTTCATGGTAACCAGTATTCCTCTATATTAGAGAAATTACTTCATTCTACTTATATATATTAAACTTTTTATTCTCTCTTTTCGGCAATGATAATTTTCAAATATACAATTGATTTACATGTTAATGTTTCGGGAAATTTACTTCCATCTTCAGAACTTATAATCCCATATTTTCTTAGCGATCCTTGGCTAGAAAGAGGTAATTAAAATATGTTCTAATTAACTCCTTTATTAAGCATGTTACAATACATGTTAGAGTTACATAGAGTTCGTCATTAACTAAAGTCTGATGTGCTCCTTTGTCATGTTTTAAATTTATGTTATAGATAAATTACAGATATAATATCCAGAGCATCAACCTTCCTATAGACCAATAGTTGGATGTTTGCTATGGGGGATACTATTGACTTTTGGATATGATTATTTACTTTTTTACTCTTGTTATTAAATGAGTGTTTGTTATGTAGCTGCATTTTTACTGTATTTTAATTGTATTTAATATATCAGCATAATGTGTCCCCAATCGTTTGGTGTCTGTTTTGTAATTTACTGTTGTTCTATTGTTTTTTGTGATATGTATGGCTTCAAGTAATTTTCTATTGTTGTTTTCTGTTTCTGTGCCTAATATCTTAATACTTATATATTTAAACTTTTCAACTATAACTATAAATAAATATATATTACAGAAGATTCGTTCACGATAATTTCTCTCATATGCGATTTAACAGCATACTTATTAGTTGTAAATTTACAAATATAAATTTAAATCAGCTATTTACTACATTTACGCAAAGCAGCTCATAGGTTTTAATCTTTTTTTTATAAGCAAATTATGCGGCTCATCGATCCACCGTTACAATATGGCACAAAAAAAAATGTTACACCGTTCGTGGTAGCATAGACCTCTTTTTATCAAATTATTAAAATCTCATCGTAACCTACAGTTTCTTTACGAAAATTCTCGAAATAAGAGGATTTTCAAATTGGAGATTGTCACACTTTGTTTATTTAATTAGATACTGAAAACTCGAAAATACCTATTTGATTTCTACTTGGATCGTAAGATAATTTGAGAACAAACTCTAGGAAAAAGGTGCCCTTAAAAATTATTGAGCCGTCTGGCGTTGCCAACATCCCCAAAATGTCAAAATAACGAGTTTTTTTAGGACAAACCGTCCAATATTTTTGTAGGCTACCTTTTTTCTCAAATTATCTTACGATCCAAGTGGAAAGCAAATGTTTATACACGAGTTTTTCGTGCCTGATTAATCGGACAAAGTTTGCCGTTGTCCAGATTGAAAATGCCCCAATTCCAGAAATTTTCGTAAATAAAATATTTGTAGGTTACGATGAGATGAAGCTATTCACGAAGTTTCAGGCGGATGTTAATAATTCGATAAAAACGGGTCTGTACCACGGACTATTACAGTTAGCTGAAAAAAATAAATATTCATTTTCACTATATCCATGATATATATATATATATATATATATATATATATATATATATATATATATATATATATATATATATATTCTATACATTCATGATCAGGATATCTATTAAGAAGAGTCTATGTGTAGTATCTATATTCAAAACATTCGTTAAGCCAAACGTCAATTTTCTTATTTTCCAAGACAGGATAATTGGACTTTAATTCTATATAAAATGAACTATATGAAAAACTTGAGCAAGAGGATTGGTAAATGAGTGTTCACGAAAGTTAGAGAAGTAAGTTTTACTCTTGATTTTATTTTATATAAAATAAATAAAAATAATATAGAATATAAGTTTATATATAATATTAATATAATATAGAAATAAGTTAATGCAACCGATGTATTGTGAGATAGAAGAAATAGTTCTCTTTTTCTCAGTCAAATCTCAACTCTTTTTTTTTCAAAAGGAATTTAGTAATTTTTCAAATAATTATGGGAGCAATAAAAAAAATAAAATAAACCATATTAAAAGTACTTTAGAGGAAGACATATATCAACATTGGGCATTTAAGCCCTGTAAAGTGACATCAACGGGGATAAGACTTAAATGATATTAAATACCGCTTGATTATACAATGATACACCGAGTTTAATCAAAATCGTTAGAGTATTTTTTTTTTTTAGTAAATTGTAAAAATGTGTTTCAGCGTTCATATAAAGTGACACTTCCGGTTAGCCGATTTTAACAAAAAAGTTGCTGTCACATCCGGCCTATATACAAACCTTAAATACTTAATATCAGTTTCGTACTACTTTTCGTTTATGAGCTAGACTGTTATCGTTACACACAGACCATTTTGTGCAACTTGGTTATTTGGACTCCGGGGACTTTCAACATGTATTTCGGTTGAACATTGAGATTCGAAAATTTTCAAGATCGCAATACTTACCCTTACTATATATTGCATATATACGTAAGTGAAAGTAAAAAAAAAAATCATTTTGAGTTATTTGAAAATAATTTTTTTTTTCATTCATAACCATTTCCTCTTAATTTCAGGGAGATATTATTATGATTTTCATTTTTCCACGGAATTCTCTTTCCTTTGATGCCTCATTCATCGAAATCGATCTTGAGAGCCGGAAAAGTGATCTACACTGGGAAATACCACTATATTATTTATAAAGATAAATACTTTAGAGTAGGTTATGAAATTAAGTAAAAATTATTTATGAAGATTGTAAGGTAAAAATAAACCCTGACATACAGCCCCTAATAAAAATAAGTTTGTATGGTTCTGAAGTGAAAAGTATTGAATAAAGGAAAGAAAAGTTTGGACTTTTTCTTCAAGAAAAAATATACAAAAAAAAAAAGATTTTATAATAATTTAGTGATGAGCCGTATACTTGTAAATCTCAACAATAAATTAAAATTATTTTGAAAACTTTTCTAAACAAACCAGATGATATCCACAAACAATTGAGCTCTACACGGCGATATAACAGCTTGGATGCTCTGGTAAGTGGCATTAGAATGTAGGCTTGCTATTCCATGCAAAAAACAGATCGATGTCAAACGTTCGAAGTTCCCCTGTCGGGCGAACCCCTTTTAAGCTGCAAAACGATGCCTTTGTACAGCTTGTCCATTCAACTTGCCCGATCGGGTAGTATGGTTTTCGTCAGTATCGTGCCGCGTAGGGATGGATAAAACAAAAACAAAAAAAATTATGAATAAACTTTTTTTTTATTCCCTCTAACTGACCATTTCTTGCATACGGAATTTCAGATTAATAAACTAAAAAAAAATATCAAAACAATAATAAAAGTCCAATTAGATGATGGCGTCCCATTCTTTCTACAGAAGAAGACATAGCCAAATGTCTCCCAAATGCATGCAAAGAACAAAGCCCGTCAACATTTCACCAATTCGGGAGTCATCAAAGCAGGATAATATAGCAAATCAAACATTACCCTAAGAGGAAGATTATAATCAGACATCTCTTCAAGGAAAAAACATTATTTTTTAAAAATTATTTTATTTATTTGTTTTCGAGGAATGCGCCATACAAATAGAGTTGGCTATAATGATAACAATGAACAAATTAATATGAAAAACATTTTCAACTTATATAGAAAGTAAAATTCATTTTGATTCATTGACAACATCCTCTCCTGATAACAACCAAGCATCTGATTGTATGCCTAAATATAAACAATGAAATATAATATAATGCCCCATATAATACAATAATTCAAAATAATACATCTGAATATAGCGAGCAATAAACTGACAAATACTAATAAATAGCACTAGCAATAAAGATACATATAGACATAGTATACAATATATAACATATAAACATGTCAATAGGAAATAGGAAATGATACAATAAAACACAAAATGCATATAAATATGTTTCATACATGAATAATAAATACCACAAGCAGAACAAAGTAGATAAACTTCAAAGTTTTGGAAAAATATATATAATGTTATTGTTAAATATTTAATAGTTGACCGTTGCATTATAAAGGAAGGAGATGGTCCGGGGTTGCGGTCATAAATAGGCTAAATAGTGGTAAAACTATTTTATTGAAAGCCAACGTTTCGACCCGACTTTGCAGATCGTCATCTGGGAAACTTCAGTTCTAAGTGAAACTCCTAGATGAACACACCTCCCTGATAAAGACCTGCAAAGTTGGGTCGAAACGTTGGCTTTCAATAAAATAGTTTTACCACTAATTAGCCTATTTATCACCCCAACCCCGGACCATCTCCTTCCTTTTTAATGTTATTATTCATTGAAAATAAAGGATCTCAATCTGCAACATTGTCTCGTGTAATAAAACAAGTTCTTGAGGAAGACTTCATTGTCAATTTTGAATAATTCCAAAGAATTCGGCCTGGTCATGTTAATGGACTGAGGTAGGAAGTTCTGGCGGAAGTGGAAAGAAAAAACATAAATAAGGACTAATAAAAAACATGTAATATCCAATCAAAATTCATAAATATTTTACAAAAAAAAAAATCAATAATTACGAAGTAAAAGGTATTGTTTAGGCAACTTTCCAAATTTAATTAAAGTAAAGGCAGATAACTCTAATGAGTTCAAACATAGACAACATTCGATTTATTTTGGCAGTGGACTGTATTCTGATCAATTGGTAGGTTATAAGAATTGTGTAAAATAACCTCACTCTTTGATGCTGGCATAGACATCTAACTTAACTGCCAGGGCCCTCCAGTCTGCTTCAGTTGCTGTCTCTGGGAATATCTGTCTAGGAATGGATGAGTGCGTATAGGTAGCTGGCGCGGATTAAATTTTATCTTTTAGATCTTATCTTATCCGTTTTTACTATTCGCAACGTGACAATCGGGTATAATAACATTCACACAAATCAGGTATAATTATAATAATGAGAGAGAGAAAAATAATTTTCGTTGTATTTATTTATTTTGTGTATCAGCTCAGCGATCTAAAATAATAAAACATGAGTTAAATAATGTCCGTGTTCTATAGAAAGAGAAGATTAGTTCTAAGAGAAAGATATTTGAGTGTATGCATACTGCACAGAAGTTAATTATTGAACTGGCAGTAGAAATCTGAATATCTTTTATTCTGAAACGTTGAGCATCATGAATTAGTCTAATAAATCTGGCTAATTTGTTTTTTGTTTTTTTTTATCTTCATCTGCGTAGTCAGCAATTTTTGATGATTACATTCTTTTGATATACATTTTCATATATGCATACATACTTTATATAAAATAATTTGTTTTCTTTCATTATTCTAATTTTTGTATTTTTTTTTTTTTATTGAGTATTAAAATAGTCTACCACACTGATGGGAATTGGAAAATAATTATAAATACCCAAAGTAGGAAAAAAAATATATAGATAAATGAAAAGATAAAGCAATGCACAAGATAAGATTAAAGCCGAATGATAATAAAATAAATAAAACACAATCACACCTATGTACAATATGTACATTGGCCAAGGGGACTCTGAATCAAGCTTTGTTCTCCAAATGTGGGAGTCAAAGCAGGACTACAAGAGATCCCAGTGCTCCTCTCCCAGCCACGTCACTGGTATTGGAAGCCAGTGGAGATTGACGGAGTGTACTAGAGAAAAAGACGCTTAGGACTTAAGTGAAGAATCTGGCCAGTGCCCCAGTACTCCAATATATACATATGTACAAAAGATCGCGTGGCCACCGCTGTTTTAACCTCCGAGGAGGATTGTAGGGATGACTGGAGCTAGATAGAGATTGTACTCCACGATTAGGATGATGAGTGAGGTTCTGGTAAAATTCGGAATAGTTGTCTGGGATTAGGTCATGTATAAAGGGGATATTAAGGTCATTATGTAGAGTTTTATTGATAACATAAAAGGGAGCATCGACTATTGTTCGAAGAACTTTAGACTGGAAAGATTGAATGAGTCCGTATGTATCAGGATTGTCTTGTAGATTAATAGTTTCTTCTCTAATTTCTTGTAACATGTTAATGGTATTTGTGTGACATTTTTTTTATTATTTTATTAGTCCTTATGTGAAATAAGGATCCCCTCTCCCTATCAGCTGTTTGATTATAACCTTCCTCAGCTGTGCAACCTTATCTTAATATTTGCGATTGGGAGTCATGGAATGTTCGATTTGCTTTTTCCTCGGTCCCGATGATGCCTGAATATTTTGTTCTTTGCGTGCATTATGGAGACACATGGTTGGAATTTTTCCATTTATAGCCTAAGATTTATTTTCTGTTCCTTGGTGAGATTTTTACTGATTTATATTCTTTTCTTCTTATTATTATTAATTTAACTTGAATTAATTAATCCTGGAAAATAATATTCTCCAGACGAGATCAGTATTTACAGATAACTTCAACCATTTATATGGTTCAACCATATAAGGTTTGTAATGAGTCCTCTGAAATTTCCTGGTTCCTATTATGGCGCACCCCCTACATAGTAGCAGATGCGGTATTATCGCAGATATCTTCATCATCACTTCCGATCGGGACATTTTTAACAATGCTCTCTAGAGATTGATGACAGGCAGTGAGCTGATGAGATACCTGACAGCGGTGGACACGGAGGGACGCCATATATCGCCCGACAGTGGGATCTGACAGAGCGTGAAACTGGCCAACAGTTGGTTGATGGATCGCCTTCACGTATCCTCGTTGTCACCGCACTACATCCACCCAAAAACTAAACCATTCTCATCATTTCCCTCTGCATGCTACATCACAATTATTATTTTTTAAATTTCATAATAATAAGCGATGATAAAAAAAAGTTTACTATTTGGCCTGTTCTAATAATTCGCTCAGTATATTGATTAGCAAACATATGACAATATAATACAGTAATAAGTAAATAATAGACTAAAACACAAGTAAAAATTGCTACTCGTGTCCTTGGTTTAAAAAGTTTTCTATAAAAAAAATTTGAGTTTTTACTCAATAATCACTGACAACAAAGTTATCTATGTCTCAAATGAATTTTAATGGCACCAGTTTAAATTATAAAAATAGCAGTGTGAAGTGGTTACAACTTTTAAAAATAATTTGGTTGAGAAGGTTCTAACTGCTATACTATGTCTAGCTATACTGGATTTATAGTTATTTTAATGAGAGTTAAACATGAAATTATACAATATCATTTATAATGTTATTAAAGATCTGTTCTATGTGTGTAACATATTTAAATCGATTATTTCAGAAATGATCAGCGTGCTTTTTTCATAATTAAAAAAAAACGAGAAAATATATATTATGCTTTAATTTTATTATTATTATTAATACATAACATAAAATTGGACATAAAAAAATTAAATTTACGATCTGCAAATTTCTTTGCAATAAGCTTTGGCAGCTTCACAGAGTTCCATTGCAATCCAGGAAATAGTTCAGTTTAGCAGGTCTCTTGGCCACCGCCTACGTAATCGTCGAGGTGGGCTGTACGGGTTTCTAGTGCTTTTAAGGTTTTCTGTCAGAGGATTTGTGTTGTAAGTTATTCTTTGGTGAAAGTTGTAGTTTATTTTTACAGGGTCTGAAATTTTTGGGATGTTCAATTCCGTACGTAATCTATCGTTTGTGACATAAAATGGTGCGTCAACTATTCTTCGTAAAATTTTGGATTGGAAATACTGGATTTTTTTTAAATATTAGAAGTGTTAGCAGAACCCCACAGTTCTATGCCATAAGTCCAAATTGGTTTTAGTAAAACTTTATTGCGGGTTAGTTTGTTAGTCAAAGATAATTTTGAACGTCTGTCAAGTAACCTAGATAAAAGACCGCATCGTCTGTTTAATTCCATACGTTTTTGTCTAATGTGTGTCCTCCAAGCTAGTCTTTTGTCGAGATAAAAACTCAAATATTTAATTACCTCGGATGCAGGAATTTCAATGTCATTAAAATATATTCGGCTTTAATTTTATAATGTAAAAAATATATAGTGTTAACAAAAAAAAATTGACATTATCTATACCATGTTTTAACAATGCATATATGACAGGGATGAAACAAAATTATCAGGATCTACAGTCAAAATTTTTTATTAGCTTAGTCGATGTTTCAACCATAGCATGTGGGTCACCCTCAGAACTATCTTTTGGAAATCGAGACAAGAACTCATTTCAAAAGATAGCCCTGAGTATGGCCCACATGTTAGGATCGAAACGTCGCCTAACCTAATAAAAGATTTATTTTTTATATAATTATATATATATTTTTTTCTATAAAACGCAATATAGATAGCTATCCCCCTTTTCATATCAAATTCATGGAGAACTGTTGGATCCCAATTTCAAAACCTGAAAATTTTCTAAAACTAAAGTAAAAGAAACAATTATGGACCAATGAAAAAACAAAAAAAAACAAAAAAAACTTAAATCCATCAGTGCTGTGAAATTTAAATAATAGGAAACCAATTTTTTTAAGTCGATTAAATATGATTTTTTTCTTATATCCTCATATCTCTATTAAGTACAGGAAGTTTCTGTGATCAGATGATTTTTTATGAATTTGAAAATTTTAAGAGGCAGATTTTAAGTGACAACCAGCAACAAAAAAATTTTTATCTTTTTATTGAGGTATAATACATTTTACCACACTTAAGGGTAATGAGTATTGGAGCTGTTAGGCACATTCATACCATATTTACAACATAATAAAATAAAATAAAATAAATACCTAAAATGTATGTATAATTAAATACATTAAAATATGCGTATAAAAGAATATGTATATGTAACGAAGGAAACAATAGAGACAATCCTTAAGGGAAGCCGCGTCACCGGCATTAGAGTCCAGTGGAGTCTAAGAGAGAGCCATACAGCCACAGACGCTCATGACTTGAGTGGAGAAGCTGGCCAGTGCCTGAACTCCAATGACATATTTACAAAAGATATCGAGGCAACTGCCGTTTCAACCTTCGAGGAGGATTGTTGGTATGACTGGAACTAGATAAGGATTCTGCTATGGGATTAGAATGGTTGATTAGGAAAATTTGAGAATCGGGACGGAATAACGTCTGAACAACAAAAATTAAAGTTTAAAATTAAAAGGAAAGATGTATTGCTTACTACAGGTCAACAAGTCAACAAGACAGTGGGTAAGGACCATTGATGCATCGCCTACTATATTTCCTAATCCTGTCATCACAGACAGTATTACCCTGGCGAACAGTCGGTTATCCAACTTCTGAGAATAGGACTGGCCGTTCTGAGCTCGTGAATGGACCATGACGGATGGGGTCTGAGAGCCCCTGGTCTAATTGAAATGTTGGCAGGTAGCGGGAGTCGGGGCTTTGAGGAGGCGGGTTCGAATCCTCCCCGTCACAGCAGATTTAGTGCCTCCGTTTGTTTGACCGCAGGAGCGACCCATTCACCGACATGAATGGAGATATCACCGCATCCTAGCCGTATTATCGTCCCGTCAGTTCGGGTCATTGAGGAACAGCGGGTGGCGATTGGGTTTGTGTGACGGAGCGGTTGACGTTATGGGCTGTCTTCGGTTCGCAGGTCTTATTGCGAGGAAGAAGTCTCCTTCAGGAATCTCGGCTATAAATCAATTCCACCAGCGTAAACCAGATCATTATAACAGTCCTTTCAAGATGGCCTTTATTTATTATGGTTTGACGTATCTTACAGTGAACACCTCTCCGGGACTGGACACTTGGAGGTTTAAACCAAACAAAAATATAACTTCTGTGGTTTACTTATTAATTTTGAAAAAAAAGTCTATAAAATTTGTCTATCAAGTTTTAGCAAAAAAACATCACCTTTCAATGACATCAATTTATTTTTATAAAGGAAGGAGATGGTCCGGGGTGGCAGTCATAATTAGTGGTAAAACTATTTTTATTAAAAGCCTATGTTTCGACTCGACTTTGCAGGTCTTCTTCAGGGAAGTATGTTCAGCTAGGAGTTTCACTTAGAACTGGAGAGAGTTCTAAGTGAAACACCTAGCTGAACACACCTATTTATTATGGTTTGACGTATCTTACAGTGAACACCTCTCCGAGACTGGACACTTGGAGGTTTAAACCAAACAAAAATATAACTTCTATGGTTTACTTATTAATTTAAAAAAAAAAAAATCTATAAAATTTGTCTATCAAATATTAGCAAAAAAAACATCACCTATCAATGACATCAATTTATTTTTATAAAGGAAGGAGATGGTCCGGGGTGGCGGTCATAAATAGGCTAAATAGTTTTGCCACTATTTAGCCTATTTATGACCGCCACCCCGGACCATCTCCTTCCTTTATAATGCAACGGTCAACTATTAAATATTTAATTTATTTTTATCTTCACTAGCTATACGTGAATTCAAGTTCTGAATGGAATAACACATTTTGAGTTCTAAATATCCATTTTCGTATGGTCTAAAAATATATGAACAGCCTATCTTGAAAACAATACCTCAAATGAAACTGAAATTACGTTTTTAACATATGAGTCATATAAAATGAACTATAATCGATTTTATTGTAAATCGAGATAAGTATTCCGATTGTGCAATTTTTTTTTTCAAAAGGTTGTTCGAAAGTAAGTTTATTTCCGAAATTGTTCTTTTTTTTCAAGGAACATTATGAAACATGCAGCTCTTATAAATAATTCATCAAAAGCGCGTTTAACGATTTGATTAAAGAAAGTTAAGAATAAATTAATGTCATTACACCATTATTATGAACAAAATGTTAATTTTTTATTGTGTAATTTTTATAACTTCTTTTTTTCCCCTAATTATACACCACTTTTTCTCACCATAATTTTTTTTAATGGGCCTTCATCTTTAAATCCTTCCAAAAGTGGCTCTATTCATGTCTCATTCTTTTTTAATTATAATAGAAAAATTCAGATCGATATAAAGATTTTTTTTTATTATTTTATTTTAGTATGTTTTTGATATTAAAATCGAAATAGAAAATATAGTTTTTCACGTTTTTTTTTTAATTTGTCAAATATGATTAGGGTTAACTTATTATTTAATTTTTAACTTATGATCAAGGAAATAAACGACTCCAGATTTGATATTTGATATTACATATTTCATATGTCTAAGATGTTATTGATTTCTCCTTTTTTCCTTATAATTTTTTTTTTTTGTTTGCTTCAACAGGCTTACCGATTTAACTGGAGTTCTACATTATGCCTCCAACGATTTTTATTAAACTAATTATTTTTTTTTCCACTTCAAATATCTACCCGTACAGGTCATGGTATTGACAATCAGCAGGTTTGTTATGATTGCCATTATTGGAATGAGGAAGGATTACACCCATCCTGGTTATTGTTTATTTCCTTGTAGGAGATTTCTCATCCAGCTCCTTTTTCGTCTTCTCCTGATGGGCATGCCAGTCGTGGCCATGTCCTTTATTACTCCATTGATGTGTCCGTGTAGTTTGAGATGAAAACGAGAGTAGAGAGTACTTATGTGTTGGTCTAAAGTTAGTTGTCGTCACCCGTTATATTATTTTTTAAACTTGTTTATTGCGAGATATTACAACCTTTCACAACTTAAGGACATTTATAATAGTGTTCAAAGAGCACATTCACACTAAATTCACAATAAATAAAAATAAAGAATTCATAAAAATAATAATACTAAAAGTATATGTATATAAACTAAACTAAACAAAAAGGAACTAAGCAAATGAAAATAACAACTGAAATACATACATGCTTCTATACAAAATCTAACAAAAAAAAAAAAATCATTCACTCAAGATCTCCGAGCCAAGCCTTTCTCCCCACTCGTGAAAGGAAAGGCTGAACTCAAGGAGATC